TATGTATGTATGTATGTATGTATGTATGTATGTATGTATGTATGTATGTACGTAGATAGATAGATGATAGATAGATAGATAGATAGATAGATAGATAGATAGATAGATAGATAGATAGTTTTGGCCTTAGCTTCAGCAGTGACTCTTGAAGGTCCAGTCCCAGAGACACTGTCCAAACAACATTGCCCATACAAAGTTGTGCTTCCTTGCTGTAGGCTTGTACATCTTCATTGCAAATATTTCTGGGTATGTTTTTTTTTTTTCCCCTGAGAAACTTGAGCACTCAAAACTATTTCCTTTGGACTGAAGTCGAGAAAATAGGTAAAGGCAGCTCCCATAATTAGGGCAATTGCTGGAATCCTGACAACGTGGTTGGTAGGTTAGATCTTGGTATAAAATAATTGAACTAATTAAATGTATTCATTGTAAAATCCCAAAAGTTTTAGCAATATGTCATTCAACTAAATTCTGTTTTTTCTTGCTTCTCCTTGCAGCTTCAACACTGGATATCCATATGATAGTTGTGACATTTGACAGGAAAAGTCAATCTGTTGAAAAACATCATTGAGAAAACCAATGATGAAGTCTGGGCCATCCTTGGTTGTCAATTGACTGGCTGGAAGTCTGATTCAGATTATTAATTCCAAATTTCTATGAGCGGAGATTCATCTTCCTCTCAAACACTTAATAGTTCATGTTTTTTCCCCCCAGACAAACTTCCTTGATAACTTGGTTTTTTAATTATTATTATTTATTTAATAATAATGAAAAAAAAATGCCACAATTAATTTTCAAGAAGCTAAACATGCTCCTGGTCAAAACGGACCATTCTTGCTAATGTCAACAGCAAGGACTGGAGATGTCTATTTTTGCTCAAAGGCCATTTTACTTGGAGCAGAAAGAGAGAGAGAAAGGGAAAGGGAAAACAACAACAAGAAGAACATTTTGGAATGTTCAAAAGAAAAGGGATGGTTGTATTTCTTCATTTCAAGGGGGAAAATGGTAGAAAAGATTGCTTATGAAGTTGGATCTGGAGGTTTTACCCAGACATGATCACCAACTGATTATGCACCCAACAAACTGGTGGGACAATCTTGGACACCTAGACCAATTCTGGGAAAACCTGGACTGTTGTAAGAAGATTTCCAATCAACTGTCAAGTTCCTTTCTTTTGTTGTTGGTGACTTTCTTGTGTAGGTTAGACAACATTATTCTGATACCAAATACAATGCTTTCCTTAACAACAGCCTAGGATGAAATTCAATTTCAAACACGTAGCCACGTGCAACTGCTAAATAAATAAATACATGTTTTCAGGGTAGTCCTAACCTCCATGTTTTGTTCTTTATTTGTGCCAAATAAAGAATCCACAGAATGGATTCCTTTAAAAAAAAAAGTCAGTCTGGTACCATAACAATATTTTAGTAATTTATGTTATCAAGCAGTTTAGCTAAGTTCTAATTAACTTTCAAAGGAGCTGGGAAGAGAAATGTTGAAATTTAGCAACTTTCAGTGGCTGATAATTAGAGAAAGGTTAAGTTTTATGACAAGCGGTTTCCGTACTAGCATGTATCTTTTTTTAGAGATAGTCTTCTCCCATTGCCTCCATCATCAAAAACTATCACAAAATTAGTAGCCAAGGTGTTAACACAAGTGGTCAGATCAATAGTCATCTGATTAATGGAAGGGTTACAAAAACTCTGATAGAGACATTTCAAATTCCCAAAGAGAATTCCCAAAAAATGAAAAATCTAGAATCTCCACCAAAAAGAATTCCAAACTCTTTCTTCTTTTTCTGACATGAAATACATGGAGGGGACTGTGTGTTTCCCCCGTTTTATCAGTTGTACATTTACGGAACCATCTACTATGTAACATCCTCACCACTTCCAGACTTAGAAATAATCAAGGCACCATTTCCCTTTCAACTCCAGGCTTGGCTTTTATCTCTCAGTTTAATCTACCTCCCAGGGAGGTTGTGAGGCTACAACTTCTCATTTCTTTTGCAGATGGTGGTCTGCGTAAAAGACGTATTGCATGAAATGAAAGCCTGCAGACAGCCCTTTCCGAGATCCCTTGTTGGCCCCAGCTTCAAAGTCCATGAAGAGACTCAAATGATGGATCTCAAATCTCCCCCTTCTTGTCCACCCTTGAAGTCCTCCCATTTTTTTACTTCTATTTGGAAGATAAGCATGAAGTTGTATTTTTTTTTACCTAATCCACTTTTTTTTTTAATTTGCTAGATTTGGCAGCCAATTGCTTTACCTGACAATTGCTTTAAGTTCTTGACAATATTCTTGACAATTGCTTGAAGTTCAACACCACCCAGTTTCACCTCTGCTGGTTTACACATCTCATCCTCCTTTCCTGTCTTTCTCATCTTCCTTCTTTGTCCCCTTGAGAAGTTTAAGTTCTTTTGCTTCATTTTTCATCTCTTTCATGTAGGCACCCTTGGGATAGGTGTATGTTTTGTCCATCCTTTTTTAGACCAGTATTTTTGGTGAGAAAGACCTTTGACTATCTGAAGGCCTGGAGAATCATCTATTCTACCATCTTCCTGGTAAATCTAGTTTACTTTTCAGTCTCAGAATCCACATGATCCCAATGTGCCTTAACATCACAACAAGCTGCTCAGCATTTATGTAATGTCCATATCTAATTAAGCTAAGAAAAAAGTGGGTTTCAACGAAGAAGGCGTGTGAAGAGCAAAGAGCGACATTTAGAAGTACAGAAAATATTAGTCTTCATTTTGATATGTCTATTGCATTCTTTGCAAAGTTCCTTAAACCAATGACTTCTTACAATAGTCTTTCTAGTTTGGGCTATCCTTCAGTCAGCTAATTTTCCATGTCTCTATAGTGACTGGAGACTTCTAGAAAATGAAGACTGCATTTCTTTAATCTAGAGGATACCTAGATTGGAGAAAGCTGCTTTAGATGAAGGACTAAACAATGTGTGGCCTTGCCATTCTTTTTGGATCGCAATTACTATCATTCTGCTAGACTGTCTGCTTCAAATTAGAATTGAGTAGCTTGTGAGGGACATAGCAGCTCTGATTCGAATGACCATAGAATATTCTTTCAGCTCACTAACTACAATGCAGAAGGAGAAAGGGACTTGCATCTGGATCATCCAGAGTTTGGCGAGGGGTTCTCATGATATAAAAACCAGAGTTTCATAGACAATGTCCTGTCTATCCTCTGCCATTTTTTCTCTAGCACCAAGAAGCTTTCCAACCCTCGAATCCAAGTCTTGATGGCATACAGTAGATGGATTTTCATGTTGCAGCATGGAAAGAGAAAAAGGCAGCATGCAGGGGACTGAATTCCAATGAATTTGGATGAATTTCCCACTCCTGCTTTCAGGGAATGAATAGCAATGGATTGAATTGTCCAGTGTTGTGTCTTCTCAGAGCACTTTACCTGAAAGTAAAGACTACACTGATCAGTAGCTTTAGCTATGAAGAAACTTCCATTTTCAGAGACGTGTCCTGGCTACATGAAGTCTGCTTCCATGCTTCACATCCAAATTTACAGGAAAGCTCTTTGATTAGCTGCGCTTGGTGCTGTCTGAGCTTGGTGGTGGTTTTCTTGCAGACATTTCATGACGTAACTAGATAACACCATCAGTGAAGTTGCTGACTAATGATGCACTGATTATGTTACCTAGTTAAGTCATGAAATATCTGCAAGAAAATCATCAAGCTCAGACAGCACCAAGGACCCCACAGTACAACCTTGCACTACGAATATCATCTTCTACCTTGAATTAACCACTATGAGTGACAGGATATAAGTTAGATTAAACTTTTGTCCTCTTGCCCCTAAGGCTCTTCTTCAGATGTCTTCTTATGTATCCTTTTCAGGAATAGAATAGAATAGAATAGAATAGAATAGAATAGAATAGAATAGAATAGAATAGAATAGAATAGAA